TATATAATGTTATATATCATGGTGCAATTATTCAACAGATTTATGTCGACAGTTGACCAAATATTTGAATAATATCAGTAAAATTAAATGCAGCTGTCCTTCACCATGCAAGTAAGTATTACATTTCATCAACAGATAACATTCATTTGTTGCCGTGAACGTGGTTTCTAAAATATGGACGTGGCCATTGTTGTAACTCATAACACATCATCTCGGCAAACAGGAATTTAAAGAAACAAACGTTAAGAAACACACTTACTTATATGAAATGCGTAACATTTGACTCCATTTTCACTGTATAATGGTATAAAAAATACACATATTCTTATAATATATTGTCGTAAATCGAACAGTGACACCTTTTGTACCAGGTAATAGTTTACAGGTATAAGGTGTAATTTGAATTTCCAAATAATTTATTAGCACCTCTGCCCTTCGTTAATGTTGAGTTCAACATATCCGTCATTATGACACGATTTTAACAAGCGTTTATTAACAAATATGCATAAGTTCTATAACATTATTTTGCTTATATGTATGTAAACATTTATTTTACAGAGAAACCAATTATGACATAACTTCATCCCAGTCGCAGTGGCCATCAGATGTGTATCTAGTATGTAGTAACAATACAGTAATATAATAAAAGAGTAAATTTCTAACTTATATGTAAGGCCAGACTTTTATTATTTTTTGTTTCGCGAACCCGCCGAATGAACAGGAGCCGAAAATGAAATAAAAATAAAATTTAATTTCAGCGTAATTTCCGCCGACTGTAAGCGCAACAAATTGCTAAAAAAATATTATTTTTATCTTCATTTTTTTTACCGCCCGCCTCATACCAAATTTAAGTTGCATTTTCGTGGGAGTATCATGATCAAAGTACTGAAGTCTCGCGCAGATGAGAAACAAGGTTATACATGGAATAACATTTTATTTCATTTCATCTCTCCGATCAATGATCTCACTTACAATTCTTTGAGAATCACACAAATCTAATGGAAAAAAAGAATTAATTTTATTTGTTTCCGCCCTCCTTAAAAAAATTGCCTTATGAAAACTCGAGAAACAAGGAATAAAAAAAGTTTGGCCTAAATGACTATGTAATAACGTAATGAAGAGGACACATTTCAAGTACTTCGTTAGACAACAACACGTATTTATGTGTTCGTTAATATTAGCTAAAATTCAATATAGTACTTAGAGTTATATATCATGCCCACTTACTTACTTACTTTGTTACTAACTCGGGGTTCGTTAATCATTGAAATCGTTTTTAAACATTTCATTTATATTTAATAATATGACAACTTTACTTTATTGACGAATATCCCGGCATTATTATACTCACAACAGTAAAAAAGTTACACGGTGCCGAAGTTACATAGTGGTGTTTACAAATGTCGAGCTACTAACTTAAAAATCTCAAAATGGTCATCAGGAATTTTGAGTATAAAAATTGTGTTGATATCCCAAAAAATGGGGCAAAAGTTGAAATGGTCGATCAAAAGTGGATGTAGTCAGGTAAAACAGGGAAAAATTAGACAATGGACATAATCTATAACTTGGTGTCTATAGTCATAGTATAGCAGCTCCGCATTTGATGATTAGCCTTAATATGGCATTGAAGAATTGAAAACATACACATAAACACTGTAATTAATAATAATATTATTAGTTGTGCAATTTACTATTAGGAATGAACAAATACATTTTAATTTCTTTTTCAGGACAAGCTTCTAAAAACTTTAAAATGGAAACATTCAAAGTTAAAGAACGTGAACGATATGCAATCAGCGAGGTAACGGACACACAATTTATGACTACCATATCCTTCATTTTCGTTTGGTATGTTAACAAATCGAGTGTTGATATATTCTCGTTGACATATACAAACATAATAGACCATGTATTGATGGATCCTTATAATATATATATATATATATATATATATATATATATATATATATATATATATATATATATATATATATATATATATATATAGTCTAGATGTGGGAGTCGATTATTCCAAAACAAAAGTGCTCAATACAAAGTATATGTAGAGCGAATAAATGCGGTAATAGAGGAATTGAATACACAACTACATGAATATTGAAACTCGACAGCACTGTTTCCTAAGGTACAAGTACCTCACTCATCAGGAGCACCAACGAGCATACATATACTTCGCAAATTAACATATTAATTAAAAATAAAAAAACATACAGGTTTAAGTGTTACATAATAAGGCTTTTGATCTGTGTCGGCATGATGATACGAGTTCATTTCTTTTGTTTAGTGTGGAGTGGTGAGGTCTAAAAATTATTATAAATTTTTCCTTCAAACATAGAATGCATCGTTTGCTGGAGCTACTGTACGGGCTACCACGAGCAAGAATTTTCCATGTTATTCTGTGCTCAATATTTTTCTATTTATATATATATATACAATATTAAAACAAGTTTCTCTACATTCGCCACTGTAACACAAAAAGAATGCTATTCCACGGTGCCACGAGACAATAGCTTCACGGTTTTACGCAATAACAACTTTCTGAAAAATTAGGCGTTGGCTTCTACCTTAATGCAGATATATTGTAAATTACACAGAGGTAACACTACAATACATTCCCATTTACATTCCCTTCCATTACACAACAGTTTTTGTGCTGAGGCAGTTATGGTTCACAACCATCACCAGTTTTCTTGTATTTATTGTTTTCCACGCAGACTAGAGGCTTGTTTTCTGGCAAATCCACGTTTTCATGGTTTCATTCAGCAGTTTTCAGTTATATATAAATCACTATAATTTTGTATCCGCAATTCCAAAGTATCTATAACATTCTTGTCACTATTAAATATTTATGGTGTTTTCAGAGAATCGAAACTGTAGATCAATGTCATATCTAATAAATAATATGTGTACTTACAATTACTCTGTAAATCTCGTCCAGTAACAGTTTCGAGGGACCATAAAATAAAAAGAAACATTACATGCCATTTAAGTCGTGATGTTTTAACACGTGTTGCAGAAATGACTAAGTCTGTCATCTCACGTAATTATGCAAAGGATGTAAGCGGTACTCGTTGCTAGTAAAGTGACTGCTCTTGTAGACAATGGAGTAACATATTTCATATGCGTAGTTTTAGTAAATGGAAATGAAGATGTTTACCATTTGTTGAAAATAAAATAATGATTTAACCACAGGCTAATTCCGCCATATGGCGATTGTATAAGGACAAACTACCCATCACTGTACTTGATTTCCGCAAAACATTATCGCCATTTATGGTATAATGCCAATGGTGAAAAATTAAAATAACGGTTTCCATACGAACGAGTGGGGGTTATTCTTGTTTTTGCAGACTAATTCATACTATCTGTAAAATATAAAATATTTAACACAATTAATTGTAATGTATTATATTAACAGTGAGATTCACCAATGCCATTTTCATTCGTTAAGAGTAAGAGTCAACATAAGACATTGGCCTGTCCCTAATAGCTGTGATCACCATGTGTTTTGCTGTCTTTCAGAGAGGAAAATGTTTTTTTTTTGTTTTTTGTTTTTTTGTGGATGAGATTCATGGGAGTGTATAAGAATTGAATTACATTACAGGAGATGGCAATATTCTTTTAAAACAAGCGATTGCTCAAGTTTTTTGTTGAACTTATGATTTAAATAGCTCATTATTGATTTATCTTTCTAATTCCCATACCGTCTCAATTACTTTGCAGCAAAGGGAAAACCCAATAAATCTAGTTTCACTCTAACTGGCGTTGAACAGCTCCCATTTTTCCGTAATATGATACCCTAGGTCAACGTTTCGGTCGTCGATTACTAATGCATAACCCCCGGGTGTGCATTTCTAAGTATTGTTTCCATTTATACGGCCAAATTGACAATATGTGGAATAAAACCTGACACACAGTTAATTTACGATATGATAGAGATGTAGGTGTCCGTATTCTGCAAATGTTGAATCGATGAAATCGACTTGAGTCACAAAATCGCAAAATTAAAACATGTGTGTATTTTTAAATTAAACAATAGTATACAGCGTACGTTACAACACATGACACGCCTTTATTGTGTCGCGATTGGTCAAAGCCATAATGGAGACCAACCAAGCTTTCGCTATTCAGCGGTGCGTTTATTATCAACTTGAAGTAAACCAATTCGGGACGCTGCTAGCGTTTCTCGAGAAACAAAAAACAGACATGCATAAGGACGTCGCTCAAATAAATTACTTTAACAAAACAAAATAAAACGGTTTTACAAAACAATGAAAAAATATTAAAGCCCAAACTAAAATTTGACTTTGATTAGATCACGCCGTAAGTTATATTGATTGCGCGTAATGTGTTGACTGTCATGTCACAGTGTCAGCATAGTACCATACCGCCCCCTCCCTCCCCCCATGGCTGTAAGGTATACTGGTGTGCACGTGACAATGCAGTATTTTGTACAAGATATAATATTCAACTGGATGTATTCGGCAACTTTAATTTAACAACGAAAATTTTTTTTATATATAGTATGTTATCGTGTATTTGCACTCAGACCACTTATTTGCCGTGTTAGCATATGTTGTCCGTGTGCATGGTATTGGGGAAGATATCAGTAAACCATTGCGCTAAATGGTAATACGTGCTTAAGTTGTGTATAAGATTACATCATAGCATAACATATTAAACGTTCGTACAGAATATTCCATTTTGTACTCATGGGGGGTATATGACCAAATATTTGAAGAAAAGTGCTCACTAAATGCCTCAAACAAACGAGCTAAATACGAGGCTGTCTTTAAACGTGTATATTTATATAGCGGTATTTGACAAACAATACCCTCAGTTGTTTTGGCATACATTATTTTTCCTCCACGACAAAACATAAAGCCCTGCGGTCCCATTTTTACATTGACTTGGTATTGCCTTATTTTATATATACCATCGTCCCAGTTGCCGAACATTGCACTAGTTCAGCGCACGTCCGCTTCATTTCGACTGCAAAAATGATTTCTTGGCGACTTGGTTGCTTGGTTATCGGTGTTATAATCGCTCATCGGATCAGTGCGCAAGGGGTAATGATAGTAATGCTTGAATTCAATGCCGTAGTACTAGTATTAGAAACCACACCAGTGATTCGATGTGATGTAAGGTCAATGTTATTCGTATTGTGTTTTGTTTTATTTATGGTACATAGATCCAACTTGAAGAAAGAGAAGAAAGTAACGGAAGAACAAGTACCAACATGCATACAGGAGCGACAGCATTTTCGGTAAGAATTATTTCCATGTCGTACTAACTAATATCAAAAAAAAAATGCGTATAAATAGTTGTCATAGTGTGTGGGCTCATGATTGGCAAATGACACGGTCATTGGATAGTTCAGGTTGTTGAGTGACTGTGGACTGCTCTGTGGTTCTTTTAATAGCTGTGTGGCAACGGACGCTTTTATGAGTTGTAAAACGATGTAGCTCTGTGTTTCTTCTCCTGGATTATTAAGAGAGTGACTTGATATATTTTAATAGTACGCTCCACTGAAGTAATTTGTATTCAAGTTTCTATGCATTGTTAGTATTAATATTATCCTGTGTCCTGTTTATACTATGATCTTTGCTCCAGACGTAATATATTTTGTCTTATTCCAGCATAACTGTCCATGGACAGGGAGGCTGTCTGATTTCAAAAACACACAATGTGTATGGGAGTTGACGGGCACATTGAGATACGTTAGAGACATTAACGAAGTCCAGCTGTGCGATGGAGAGGTAGGGTACTATAATTTATTCATACCTAACACATAAATCAACTTTGTTTCCATATACGGGACAACGCATTGAATCTGATACTGTGAGAATACCATCCGATAAGAATCGCGTAGTCTATTCCATGTCATGATTTCTCCAATTGTCAGTACTGTAAAACATGTCTTTTTCGCGAGCATGTCTTTTTCGCGAATTTATCGAGAGAACTGATTCGCTAAATCAACATTTCGCTATTACGTCATTTTACCACAATTCGCTAAAATTGCATGCCGCTTTTTCAACATGTTTTACAGTATTTACGAACGCTGAAACAAGTTTGAATATACATTGTCTCGTTCGTGGGCGTCTATACAATGTAACTGTTAAGAATGCAAAGTATGTTCTATCAGGGGCAATGAACTGATTATATAGCAATACCGATTAATTAATTCAAGATGTCACTAATTTAAAATAAAGTATATTCTCACAATAAGATTGTTTACACTTTAGCTAAATTAATATTCTGTTAATTCATGCATGCAGTCAAATTTGCTAAAATGGCATGTAGTTATATAAACATGTTTTACAGTATTATAACTAAAGGGTAAATCAGCTGTCACTCTGGATTATTCAAATTACTGCATTGGTAGAGTATATCTTTGTTACATAAATATATCTTCATCGACAATCCCTTGAGTAAACGTTGATAACAGATGGGATATTAAGTTGTTGATTTTAGCAGCCATTCTTACAACAATAATTATAGATAATATAGCCTGACAAATTAGTTGCGCCCTCCGCGGTGCTCTAAACCCAACAGTGGTGCATGGTGTTGTTTGGCCGGCGAGGGCGCCACTCACGCCTACATGTCATGGTTACTTCAGAGAACGGTTAATCTTATTGAAACGGCCCCACGTATCTTGTCACCACTGGGCCAATGTTTACTAATTACCTGCAAGGATTTTTAAGACTAGGTATACAACTTTCAAAACCACATAATGTATGCGATGAAGAATTGACTAGTGTTTATCTAATTGCATATTACAAACTTGCATGCCCTAATCTTATAAATTCCTGACATTAGTTATAATAACATCAGTTTATGAAATCACTAATCAATTTATTTGTACCCCACTAGTCGTGGTTGACGATGTATAGCTTCGTAGTTGGTAGTATCAGTCGACCAGGTAATTCATGTCAACACCTCTATAGTCAAGGTGTACGAGAAAGTGGTCCATATTGGATTTACCCGAATCCAGATATCAAACATCCAATCCAGGTAAGTGGAGAAAGTTGAACAGTTTTCCAAAAATTTCCGACTCTTTTTTTATCATCGTTCTCATATGTTATTGTACTTCTCAAAGTGAAAGAATGTACATCTGTGTAATCAAGTTTTAACATATATGATATATTCATGGTGATACCGAATACCAGTCCGATTTAACGTTATGAAACAATTATGTCGGCTATATTTACTCAATTTCCCATATTTGTCTGTACAACGAATTGTTCAATTTGGAAAGCTCAATAGACCTCTAGCGACAAAGTGTTTGTGTGACGTCAAAGTGACTTACATATGATGTGTAAGCGATGTCGTTTAAATACACATCTCTGTTCATGTAGTCGTTCCGCATTTAGAATAGAAAAAAAACAGTATTTTCAATAGGCGACCACAAATCAAAACGATATCGCTTCTGGGAGGGGGGGAATAACAGGAACTGTGTATTGAATGACAATGATGAAGAGAGGGAATGAGAAGTGGAGTAAGTACGCCTCAAATATTGTCCCGAAAGTTGATACTATTGCAAGTGAACATGCGCCCACAATCATGAAAGTCGTATTTACTGTATTTTAAATATGGTACAATGAGAGAGTTGTTTGTTGCGTTATCTAGGTTTACTGTGAGATGGAATTCAATGGTGGTGGCTGGCTACGTGTGTATAATATGATGGCACGTCCTGGTAATAATGACAATGCTGCGGAATTCTACCAGTCTATTATAAGGTAAAATGTGCAGTTGGTGTGGTTCGTCCCTCATAATGTACGCTCTCGATCGGTAGGTAGCAATGATGTACACTGCAAAATTACAACTTGAAACTAACGTTCTATTGAAAAATGGGTGATATACAAACCAGTTTTGTAGTGGCTTAAATGTATACATAGGCCCACTCTGTGGTATTCATTCGAGCCGGTGGTAGTTGAGTGGATGTGGCGAGTATATGAGTCAATTATATTGGCAAATTGTCGGCAAACCAATCTGTACACTGTATTTTGTTTGGCCTACGCGCAAACCAAAATAAGCTGGCTTATCCTAGTGTGCTTGGTACTTGAAGGATTACCCGCATAGCTTTACTGTCAAGCCTGGTACAAAATTTGCATATATAAATGAAAATTAGCAGACTCCTCTAACACATGTCGAATAAATTTCAGTCATCAAAACCTGGCACTGCTCAGACCAACCCCCACTATGAGCCAACTACTAGTGTTTCTGAAAACATATCTATTATATCGCGCATATTATCTGACCAACACAAGTCACACTTCATAGTTCTGATTCATAGATTAAAGTATACTTCCCTTCAACCTCACTGATTCATCTGCATGTGTAATACTTATTATGATTTATGTTAATTTCGTGTTTTTCTCGCTCATATTTAATGTAAATTATTGTCCTCGATCTACTAGTATCAAATAGAATACCATGTGTCCGGTCGATTACAAAGACGTGTCCCAGGGTATTGATATATGTTTTTGTTTTTCTTTTGCTACCAGGAATGATGACGTCAGAGCGGTTCCGCCGGATTCAACGAGTTCGTCAATCTACACGAGGGGCCTGAAGCTGGAAAATTATAAAGAGGTACCAAATAAATTGGCTCACATATTTAGATATTATATTTAATTTATGAAGTTGAGTATTGATTTTATGAATTCTGTTGAAATTTGAAATTAAAAATGAAGCATGAACAGTATCCCCTGCCAAAGAAAAGATTTAATGATGAGTGCAAGATTATGTTAATGGTGATTGATTAAATAATTGATTGATTAAAGCCTTATGTTTATTCTGATGAACCAGGTGGTGTATGGATGGGCGCCCTCTAGCATTGACACCGTCAGTCACTATGGTTACTATAAGAAGACTTCCGGTTTAAGACAAGAATGTTACATTGATGGATTTTGTGGAGACAACCATTTCCTAGCAATTATGAAAAGCAGTGTCACTAACAGTGAACGGTCATACAATGTACGTAATCATATTCATCGAAATGAAATGTAATTTCGTTATTCCTTAGCTCTCGAGAGCGAGGGTTCTTTGTATTTATGTTAGTGATTGTCGCTGTTTCCAAATAAGTACTATAGGGGATTGCATGATGTGAGTGATACGTTTTTTGATCAGTAAAATATTTTTTTAGAAATATGAATATAACTAGAGTGACTGTGAAATGAATATTGGTTTAAATATTGAATATCATGAAATCTCGATGAAATAATGAAAGGAAATTGAACTGGTATGAAAGCTCAGTAAATGTAGCCAGAATGCAACGTCAGAATCCGGAGGTCAAAGTACGTCACAATACATCAATCATGACGGCTGCAAAGTGTCAACAACTATGGATGCGGTATTAGCCTTAAATGTGTATGTTTACAAATATCAGCACGCTGACACTATATAGCTTAAAATGTAATGTAATTCTTTCCAGACTGGTAGCGACCCAAACTATCCACATGTTGGTATTGGATGGACTACTCAACAAATCGTATGGGGTTACGACAACAACGCCAATAGTAATGGTCATTGGGGAAACTGGTTCGACACTGCGTGTTGCACAACGGCGGCAGACGATAGAATCAGTGCCTCTGATCTTCAGTGGAGATACTCCATTTTAATAAGATGAATACATCTTTGACGCCCTCTATCTATAATGCGCTTCTGTTGTAGTGTAAACGGTTGAAAAGTAGACAGCGTCGATATTGTTTGAATCTGTAGCCTGCTGATCTATAGCCTCAAAATATATTCTGTGATGTAAATTATAGTCTAAAATTCAAACAGTAGTTTCTTTGAACGATAATATGTTCACCCACCATTGAATCACTAGAGGGCGCGATTTGTAGTACATGCGTAGTGCAGCGCAGCAGAGATTGATCGTATTACACAGTGTTGCGTATGCTCGCAGTAATCGTTTTAGTAAATGGTTGTCGCTCTGTGTGATTATTAATAAATGCTTCTTTCATCGTGAAAGAAAGGTAAAATGAATCATGTTTACTCTGTATACTGTATTATAGTCCAGTCAATTTATGGTTTGACCCATCACAAATTGCAACAGAAATAATTTCTTCACAATACATTCCGGGGAGGTGCCTAGATTGACATACTAAAAGTCTAGGAAAATCTAGGCATCCGAAATATACCTAATTTGCATATATTCAAAATGGCCGTTTGGTGCATTTTGACAACATGGAAAATATAACTATTAGGACATATCTTTAATTCTAGATGACATTTTTTAGATATTCAAGTTGTTGCAATATGGTTTGGTGTGTGTGAATGTATGTGATTATGAAACATTTGATTGAATAAATCCAATATGGCCGTCAAAATAGTATCATTTTAATGTACAACCTCGGGCAGCCCCTCGGAGTCTGTTCCTCATAATGACTCCGTGAGCCACGCCGTGGGTGAGGGGGGAACATCGATCCTAGTGACCCGATGTTCAACCCAACCCCCCACCCTCGATCCTGAAACAGTCACTCTCGGTAGGACTGTCACTTCCAGAATCCAGAGTCCTGCATTCGGTATTGCTTTAGATCCTGCCGAGTGCTGGATGTAGGGGGAACGCACAGACAGTGTTGATGGGCGGACCTTGGTCGCCCGCGAGATAGAGGCCTAAGTTCTTAGGGTAGCTCAATTTTATGCTCACACTTTTCCGCTGGATGAAGCGCTACCCGATCGAGCGGTGTTTGAGACCGGAGCCAGCAGAGTCTGGAGTCAAATCTTGGATCCTTCGGTTCATCCCCTGACCCTGGTACCACACATTTTTTTGGTTTGGTGGGATGGACAAAGAGGGTGGTCCCGTTCATGGAATATTTCGACTGGAAACAATCCACGCACTGAGAGCAGAGTGGCGACCCTCAACCTTCGAGTTGTGGCCAGCCCACTGGAACGAATTGGTTTGCGCTGACAGCACTCTGAAGTCTCAATGGCGGAACGCACCAGCCTCCTAGAGCAGCAGACACAGCCACTGGTGGGACACCACACGGCTAAGCGGAATATCCTGCAGTGTCATCTGGATCTAATGGCAGGGGCTGCCTCTGTACAGTGGAATGCGGTTTTGGCTGTTTTCACTTGGCGCACCACCACCTCAGTTACACAGGCTGGACCTCCCCACCCTCTTCTTTTTTGAGGATGGAAGGAGCAGTCTCGGGGCTTCGGGATCCCACTGACCAGTTGGTACAGGTGAGACCCGCAGTTTGGCTTCTGCCAAGGGCAAGCGGTAAGGAGCACAAGCTGAGAAAACGTAGTGACCAAAGTCGGCACCCACTGGCCAGAAGTAGCCAGGGGGCAAGCGTCCAGGCTCTTCCGGAGGAGGAAAGAGTGGTGACGTGCCCCACAGGAAGAAGGGAACAGGTGGTGGACCCCCCCTCTTACTCGGGGGTCGCCTACCCAGCTTGCAGGGGAAGCAGGTTTGATGCTTCCACTTGCGACAAGGGAGATGGGCATATGTTCGGCACCTATCGACTTCTACAGGCCTCGCTGGGTCTCACCTTGGCAGAGGAGAGATCACCCCGATGTGGAACCGCCGAACACACACATCTCTGTCACACTGATTGCGCCGGTGTATTCCAGTTTGGAGGCAGCGCGATGGTGGCAATACATGATTACAAGATCCCGCTGCAATCTCCACCCCCTGGCACCAGCCCCTGTTCTAAGCACTACCAGGGGACCCCCGCAAAGCAGGAGCAATCCGACATGAGGTAGATAGTTTGCTTACAAAGGGTGCTATACACAAGATAGGGGACCCGGCGTTAAGTCCAGGCTGTTACTCGCAAGTATTGGTCTACTGGTTAGCCTCGCTAGATTTGAGTGATACTTACCCGCACATATCGATACACCCAGTGAGTCAGAGACTTCCTCGATTCACCCACTTGGGCAAAGTACTCGAGCGTGGGGGTGCTCCCTTCCAGGCTTTGCATGGCTGCATATGTATTCACCAGAGTGTGGAAACAGGTGTTGCTACTGCTGCACCGGTACACATCAACGTGTACCTAGATGGCTGGTTACTACACAACCTAACAATGGGGGTTTAGTCAAACAGTAAGGCTAACACCAAATTTTCTAGACCAGATGTGTGTCCTAGTAAATCGAGCAAGTCCCACCCTCAGCCAATACAACAGTTTGTGTTCCTGGCCAGGGAGTTCGACATAGAGGTGGGCTTGGTACAGACGCTGTAGGCCCATTTCCTAAATGACCTAGCCAAATGCCTAGTCTGAATTCCCTCTGTGTCCCCCCGAGAACTAATGCGGATCATTGGAATGATGTCAGCAGTTCACAGGGTAGTTCCCCCAGGCCACGTTACACAACCGCCTGTTACAGTGCACTTTTGTTGCAACACTGGGCTCTCTTACGGGAACTGGAGAGGCGAGTAACACTCTCAGACAAAGCAAGGGATGCCTTGCCCTGGTGGTCAGCAATTGCTGGCAGGGGGTCCCCTTGGACTCACTCGCCATGGCTATGACTCTCACATGTTGGGGAGCTTCACTTTCTACCCATAGTTCAAGACCACAGAGTCTTGCTTCGCACGGACAACACAGCGATGGTCTCCTATATCTACAAGGAGGGGGAGGGGACAGATCCCAATTGTTGTCAGTCCTAGTGGAGCAAATTCTCCTTTGGCACCTGGTACAATGTGCAGCTAGCCGCACAACACCTTCCAGGGGTGAGAAACAGTCAAGCGGACGCCCTTTCGTGGCGGCTTCGTCTTCAGAATGCGGAGTGGCGGATAACCTCAATGGGTAACTGTTTCGGCAGTGGGATGGTCCAAGGTTAAACCTATTCATCACACCCCGGAATGCCAAGCTCCCAACACTCCTGCCGACTTTACTCCTGTACTGGAGAAACTTCAACAGGAGCGCATCTGCACTTTGCAGAACAAGGAAGTTCTGGTTTCCACTACTGTTTGAAATGTTAGTAGAAACACCAGGGGTGCTTCTGGACTTCCGGATCTGCTGTCCCAACAGGACGACGCATTGCCTTTGAGTCCAGTGGTGTACCACTTACACGCATCGAGGCTCTCAATTGACTCACTCAGATTTTTTCTGAGTGGGCTGCCAACATCCTGGCCATGGCTAACAGGGATCCCACCAACAAAGCCTACGCCTCAAAATGATGTGCATACACTGATTGGTGTAGTAGAAAGGAGATCCATGCCATCCCTTTGTTTACCAGACAGCTGACTTTTCGTTCATCGTTTGAAATTTCTTCAAAAAACATCTGTAGGAGATCTTCTTTCATCAAGGTAACCAAGGTATTTCATTCCTCTAGTTTTTCTTTTAGATGTAACATGTTGGATTTATGCAGACTGAAGCATCCGTCTACCCAGGAAACCATTTATTTATTTACTTTTCTGTACTGTACGATTCTGTTTAAAATTGTAAAATTCTAGCATCTTAAACTTATTACTTATGCCACATAGAAGAGATGCCGGAAGAGAAGTTACATTAAATAATTATATTATCATGGCACATTTGGCACTCTCATATCTTCTCCGACTCAAAACAGTACCATAGTATCATGAATTTTTAAAATACCTCATCTAGAATTTAAGATATTTTCAAATAGTTATATTTCCATATGTAAAAATGTGCAATACGGTTCTTTTGAATATATGCAAATTAGGTATATTTCGGAAGCCTACATTTTCCTAAACTTTTAGTTTGTCAATCTATGTCAAATTATTTCTGTTGCAATTTGTGACGGGTTGGCCCCCCTTTTTCGCTAGAATGGCTGGACTATTATTTCATTCAACATGATGTCATGGTTACTCTGCCAATGGTCGAATAATAATAAATTGACAAAAAAACATTTATAATAAACGCTTGCGTTTATGTAAATTTATCCCGATCCTATCCTGTCGATATTTTCCGATGTTTCCGGGCAAATATATGACAACATAATAAAAACCTGTTGTCTTATAACGGGCTCCATAGGCATGTGGGCCACTGTTTTGCTTGCATGGGAGAGAGACATGTCCCATATCTCGACAAATGCTATCCCAATACCACTGAGCACACGTCTGATAATTCTCCTCAAATCGTAAATCAACGCATTGTTGCTGTGCACTCTTTGAAATATATTTGCATTGTCTCTCGGGTGCGGGCATTTAAAAATAACGATCGTCTTTGTTCCACATCGAGCCCTTAATCGTAATACAGCTTTTCGAATGCTATATAGGCGTTCAATGTATGATCTAGGAGTCCAGGTAACGAAATGTAAACCCAGGGTAAATACTAACACAGTGTCGGTGCATTGACTGCCTTTTATACTATCTATTAAATCGCCTTCGAATAGAACATCTTCTAAGTATTGTAAACGACCCTCTCGCAGTCCGATAAAGTGAAATTGTACCCGAATGTCGTCTTCTTTAAACTGCAGATTTCCCGTCCATCCGGAGATCTTTCGCCAATTTGGACGAATGACACTGCTAAGTGATTTATACCATTGTAACAACGTGGAGTCGCCGATCATTTTCAATTGTTTCCCTGCCAAGCAACGTTTGGCTTGTTCGGTCGACCACTGTTGTGTTCGGCATGTGAGTGACGTATAAACCGATTCTGACGCCCAGAAACCGTCAGATAGTGGGACGGGCATGTCTGGACCGCACGGAACTGAGCCCATCGGATATCGTTGGTATCCTGTAAAATAAAATAAAATAAAATAAAATAAAATAAAATAAAATAAAATAAAATAAAATAAAATAAAATAAAATAAAATAAAATAAAAAATTAAATTAAATTAAATTAAATTAAATTAAATTAAATTAAATTAAATTAAATTAAATTAAATTAAATTAAATAAACGGCGAAATAAATCAAATTTGGCATTTGAATTAGTACTAGTAGTTTATAATTGCTGTACATTGTGAGTTAGGGATTTGTTTTCCTTGCGAAATGAAAAATAGCTTTCACGCATATGTATGCAATTAAAGTCAGAGCCCACATTATTATCATTCACAGAGACAACGATGCAATACAGCTATTATAGATTACAGTATGACTTCTCGGTGACCCTGTGAATTATTCATACGTTTAATCTGAAAATTGATTTAAGGTTGAACGGGTAAACCCTATAATGTTAATACGGCACGGTTACCGATGCCGAATGCCTTGTACATGTCATTGAAAAAAATACTGAATATTGAATGTCTTCAATGTCCAACCAGTTTAAACGTGGCTGCGTACATACAATTTATTGAGTTAAATATAATAATTGATTTATTATTAACATTGGCTATCGAATGTATGAATAATTTTAATAATATATGGCTAAAAATTGAGAGTGGTGTTACGATTATCATTATTAATAACTCAATACTCATTACCTGCATTGCTATGTCCTATTTCAACTGTCGTCTTCATATGTAGTGACGTAACTGGTCTGAAGACATAAACAAACAAGTACATCGATGAGGTAGCATGAACGTGGTATACTGTAAAAGGATTAATTATTCACCGGGTTTTAATTTTGCTTAAATCGCTGACTGGAAAATGCGTTAAATTACAACCCAGTGAATATGTAAAATTGAGCATAGAACACATTATCTAAATGATACGACTGTGAATTTAAAACACATCGAATATGTCTAAAATGCTAAATCAGTGAAATTTAAACCCAGTGAAAATTAGTAATTTTACAGTATTTTGTTTTGTTATGCTGGCAGACTGATAAGTGCTTCTTCGTTTGTATGATTTATTACTGACAGGTTTTATTTCTTGGAAACAGTTAATCGTCGATTTAATCGAAATTTCATTTTTATCAGATTTCAAGGTGTTATTTCGAACTTATAAAATCTGTTCCTTGGACAATATAATTTCGCAATATAGCTAAAGAAAAAAACGAATATATAACGAATTCTCATTCCAAATACGATGATGTATATTCAAAGATTATTTCTTGTTCAAGTTTTGAAAACGTTTATAGAACTTTCTCTCGACGAAGCTTCCTAGAGATTTTCTAATCACATGAGAGAAATGCAGTGTACATTTCACTTGTAACAGATGGCTGTTCTGTTGAGTTAGGAGCCACTGCCACTTTAGAACTTTACGATGAATCTTAAAATAGAATGCAAATGTAGGGAGCTACGACAAGACTAGGTGGTACATATGTAAATTTCATTGGAAGTAATCCTTGTCAAAATACTAACATTACATGTTACGTCAATGAACAACTGAATAATAAGTACAAAAAATAGAAAATAAAACTAAACTTAGATAAAGATTAAACGTGGATTTGCAGTAAGCAAGGCAATCAGAATGAATGCCCGAAACGATTACTCACTGGGAGAAAAGACTTTCCTTTCCTGACATCGCTTTGGCGGCACCGCTGTTCAACGACGGAGTTGTCATTTCTATAGAATACAATTGCTGGCATGATCCATACATAGGCTTGTTGCAAATTATTCTATACTGCCCAAAGGTGTTCGGTTTCGTAAATTCGCAGCTGTTGTTCCACGGTGCTCCAGTTCGAAGGCTACACTCAACACGATATTTACGTAAGCCATCTTTAAACGTTGCATTCCATTTGGTTCGTTCTTCAGGTGGTCTATACACTGTGGTCAACCATTGCAGGGCTTCGCGGGTTGTATGTAGAGTGACATTGAACTCGGAATATCCCACCCAAGCAGCATAGAAATATATACTGTAAGTGCCGTTATAGTGGTCGACGACCCTCCCGGCTGTACTTTTTCCCAATGTCCTGTTGAACATAACTGCCATCAAGAAGTCACCACCCATCAATCGTTCCCTTCCGTTGTGATCGAAAGCTTCGAATGTAACAACGACATAGTCTCCTTGAGTGTAATAGTTGTTCCTGGGGTAGATCCTACAGAAACATTTCACGTTGCACTGAATTATTGGTCACATGACTGTCCAGCGAAACGTGTATAAGAAATATCAACTTCATCTTGACGAAGCAATTAGTGACAATTTGTGCTTGCACCAACAATAGTCTATAGACTCGATACGGTCATTCATTAATATCACGTATTTATTATTCTAAAATAGTTTTTTTTTATTATTATTACTTGATCTCATGAAATGGTAAGATATAATAAACTATATCGCCTTACCTTGACTTCACGATTGACGTCATACCAAATGACCCGTTGGTGACTTTGAATCCAAAACTATAATTGTCATTTTTTACACTAGAAGTATCCGTGCTCTCAATTTCCTCGATTATTCCAACCCAATCCGTGGCGAAATGGGAATATTTTTTAAATGGGAAGTTCATATTGTTTTTCTCCAATGGAGAACCCTTTTCAACCACTTCTAGATCTGTCACGGTAATGAATGTTTTAAAGGAACCTTCTAATATGAACTGCAAAACAATATTTTATATCACATTGTTTTTAAACGTAACGACGAAATATTTGTTAATTAGGTTTGATAAATACGCATTATCACGTGCACAGGTGAAATGAACTGCATTCAATAATTGTGTTGGCTCAGCTTTGACAGTTGCATCGTATGTGACCATGTGACCATGACGTAACAGCGGTATACAGAGAACGAACGTCAAATGTACGTGTCGTGTTGTACATTGTATAAGATTGAAGATTGGTATATACTTACAATACATGTTATCAATACTCCGGTAACAATACCAAGGATGAACAGGAATGTGGACTTCAACCCAAATGTGCATTTATTATGTAAATTATACATCGTAGTAAATACATATATCAAGAGGAACGCGAAAGAAAGTTACATAAACGACCACATTGACTGGGAGAGCTGCAAATAAAAACATTTCTACTGAAAATGAAAATTTACTGAGCATCGTATTGTGTAGCAAAAGGATTCCATAGTATGTATGATTTACTAGACAATAATTGGATCCGGGTAACAATGACGTTACAAATGGTGCTTCACTAATCTAAATTATTAGTTATCCCCGGTTACTTTAAGCTATATGTGCAATTTAACTCACTGGCGTAGACCGGTGATTTCGTGTTGAAATTTGTATTCATAGTGGCACAACAATGTCATCGCGAGGTGGCAATGTTTTAGTTGTGAGCCGCATATTTCAGAAATATTGTATTCAAACACTTGTTTGATAACGATTAAAATGTTAAGGAAAGTGGGACGGATATAAAATAATAGATACAAAACAATACACGCTTCCAAGTGTGTCAATTTCAGGCTATGTTATTTACCCCTACTGTATATCAGAGCGCAAATCCCAATACACAAATTATGTAGAACGATTAACGACTTTTTGTAAACAAGTGTTTTGTGGCCAACTCACTCCGATGGTTTATACATGTAAAATCTATTATTCGAATATTAATTAAGCAAACTTAGATACATACTCACCAGGAATGCGGAGTAAATATGGCGAGGCATCCATCGAAGTACATCTTCTGATGTGTGTTGACATCGACGCTCACTGAACGTCACAGCTACGTCCAATGGAGTTCAACCTGTCAACGCGTGCGCACAATGTTTTATATATGATATGTGATTAATGCGACTATGTACTACACGATATGATACGAGTCAATCCTTCACAGTGGCGGATCCAGAGGGGGGACAGGGAGGGCCATGCCTCCCCCCAAACGCATGACTATTCGTATCATCTGGATTACGCATAGCTTCTCTGCGATTTACGGTCCGTATATCTTAAGCGTAGCTTGGACCTCCCCCCCCCCCCCAATACATTTTGCTGGATCCGCCACTGATCCTTCACCGCATACAATCACATAATTCACATGGAATATTCCTTGTATCATTACTAATAGTGATTTGTATGTATGGTTTAGACGAAGCCAGTCTTAAAATGCAGTCATCTCCGATGCATGTATCGGACTGACGTGTAGCTCACTGACGTATACAGTCTTTTACCTCCATGGTTCCACTGGTTATTTTTTTATTGATATAGTTGTATTGTCTTTGATCAGTGCGTTCATCATAAAGGCAAATGGTATATCACTATGCGACGTAAGTTAGAATACAGTTAACGTGTTGTATTTGTTACTATTGACACTGAGATGTACCTTATTACATTATTCGGTATGTTCCTGTTTTCGAAAATAAGCTCAGCATAGATAAATAATTCAACATGTTCCGATATGTAAACAGTTGTTTAAGCCGATTACACAATGCGACAGGTGCATGTAGTGAATAATTTGTAACAGTGGTATCAGCTCGTGCTGTTCATTTCGCCTCTTTTAATCATAATTCTAGTCAAATAAAATGCAAAAAATATTGCAAATTATTGTTTTTCTGTAAAATGTTGTATAATCGGTAATTATAAAAATTATCATTGGTGTGATCATTGTTTTCCCTCAAAAACGAAAGAATTTCACAATGTCGAAAATGGAAAATCTTGTGTTGAAGATTGGAGGTACATAATTAGCATTTATTTTTGAACGTCGGAATCACGTGACATTCGGTTCTTGATCCCCACTCTGTCTATGGAACGTCGGAATCACGTATATTCGGTCTTGATCCCCACTCTGTCTATGGAACGTCGGAATCACGTATATTCGGTATTGATCCCCACTCTGTCTATTGTGGTAATTTGAAGACTGTACACACTTTCCATCATAATAAACTGATCACCAACTTTAACAAGTGTTTTTGGCCTTTACACTGCAAGTCTGCATGAGCGTAGGCAAGCCTAAATAGGTTTCGGTTGTATACAGCGCCACCAGTGACTGTTCCCGGCTCCATGCGTCAAGTGGCATTAATTATGATACTTTCGTTTTTATGGAATGACTGCTTCTCAACACGCAACACCAAGTGACAGTAATTAGATTAACTTTCTTTTTTTCTGACACAGCAAGTGGCATTATATGTGCTGCTTTCGTTTTTATCAGATTGTCTTTTATTTATTGTGGAAAATAGTATTAACATTGCAGAATTATATCCTCTTCAACAAATTTGTAATTAATCTTGTAAATGTTATGATGGCAAGGCCATCCACAAGATACTGACCATGACAATGGCTGTTCCGCTTTGAAACAGCCTGGCTTATACCACAAAACAATCATTTGCGAAAACACGTGTGGATATCACATGATGACATTGATGTATTCTTCAAACGTTTTCGTTGTATAGCTATTCCAACCACGGAGGTAGAAAAGACCTACTCTCAAGTTCCAACCTCATAGTCAGGAAAATTGATTCTAATTCAAATTTTAATTACTCTAGGAAGAACACAAATTCACTAAGACTGGAGTCTTGGAAGGCTAACACTAAAAGTGTGTGAATTAATAATTTGCATATGAAAAATATGGGAAAGTGGCAGTTATGTGGCATTACCCTTCCCAGATCAATGAACACTTTGCACTAACTATACCACGGCACTATCACGTATGTATTGTAGAATACACAAGAACGATCTGAAGCATGCATACACAATATGCCTATAACTTTTAATGGGGTCACGACGTGGACATATCTTATGAATAATATTTTAAAGTGCAATTATTAATAGAAAACATTTATTATAAACTGTAGGTACTATCTACCATACTAAACTGCTCATTATGTTTAACAAGTGCTTCTTCTCCTTATACTATAAGGCCAACTATGCAGGCCAAGCCTTTGCAAACTAAAGATTTTGAAACTATACAGCGCCACCAGTGGCCATTCCCGGCTGCATGCGTCAAGTGTCGAGTTAGATAACACATACGACCTGGACAATTTGATCACATGTACAAGTATAATTGCATTAAAACAGGTAATATACAATGAATCAAGTTCAAGCAAAAGTTCGCAAGTTGTTTCAAACTGATGATTGTGAGGATATTCTTTTTCAGTTCTTCCCAAGTGTTGTATTTTCGATTATTTCAAGGCCTTAAAAAGTTTGGTAAATACCATTTAACACCAAAAACAATATTCTGGTTTCATCACTTATTATTCACAGTTACTTTTATCTGATATGCACGATACAGGATAATTGAATGCAGGTTTGGACACTAATTTCAGAGTGAATGGGTAATTGGACTACGCAACCCCCTGTTAATTGTCATTACAACAACTACACCAAGTTTCTACCCATCTTTGATAATACACAGCACATGTCTTGCATTTGTATCAACTGGCTCTATTACAAACATGTGATATTGGGTAAAATCATATCACGCATCAAGTCCCTTGTAATGGAACGCTGGCGTCACATCTATCGAATGCTGCAACATGCACTACTACAAAGACACCAACTCGAGTAGTTTATTACAGCAATATGGGACTTTAATCAACTATATATATACTACATACATTACAACAACAATGATGAGATTTAACAATCCAAAATAAAAATAACTAAGACATACATACAAGTAAAACAGTCAATCTTAGGTATGTGTGTAATACCAGGTGATAACACGGACAGGCTGTGCACGCATATCTCAAACAATTTCTGACAAAAATCTTGATGACAAGGACGAGCAAAAAAAAAGCAGCTGGTCCTTGCATCGCAAGTGTGAGATAAAATCGTAAAGAGAGTTTAGACATGTTGAATCCTAGCCCTATATGATCACCCCTCACAGCAAAATGGTCTCACCTAGCAGTTGGCTATGATGGACTGTACCATTCTCTTTGAGGGGGCATCAGATAAGAGTTATTTTGACAAGTTGTGAAAAAGTTCTGCAAGCACAGCTTTTTTTTAAGAATCTTTGAAAGAACACTTAAAACAGATGGCGTGTTCATATCTCAAAACATTGTAATAGTGTTTTATACTAATTTAATGCTAGATCCCAATGAATGCAAGATCATAGACTTCATAAAAGTTGCCGTCATTAGCCAATTTACTACAATTTTGGGAATTCATCTAAGCACTGGTAAAACGAGTTTGAATTAAATAATCGTACAAATTATGTACATGATGTAGCACTTAACACCCCCATTTTAGTCAATGGAATGGTTCCAGCCACCTGAAACAAAACCTAAACTTGTGGGGAAACAAGGGATGAATTCATTCGAGAAAGCATATGAAATTCTAAAACACAAAAGTTGAAGTTCAACTCCTAAAAAAACTATGTATATAAATATGACCTTCAATTGTTTTTTGGTAGAGGTCGGCTATGAAGCACTGAAACTTACTACCCGGTACATAATTTGTTACATCTATTCAATTTCATTTAAATGACTTCTCCAAGACGAAAACATTGGCCCTGGTTTTGACAAGAAATAAAAGAACTGTACAAAGCAATACAAATTGACCAACTTCTCATAATCAAGTTTAATTACAACAACAAGCATTTGGTGTAAAGACAGTCAATAAATTAGCAAGCTTCAAAGAGTGGAAATGCCAACGGTGGAACAAAGCTAACACAATGAACGGAATGTTACGAGTAGACACTAATTGTACCTGTAAGCATCAGCATAATCTTGAGGTTACCCCATTTTTGACTCAAGTCACCCCTATAAATATAATGCAGAAGACTAAAGTACACCTGTGGTGGACTTTACTAATACTTTTAAAGGGGTGAGAAGATGCAATGTGGAGGTGAGGTTTATATTTCCCACTAACTGTTTTTATTGCACGGTCTATGTTCCATTATATTTTATTATCATCCATGTTGAGGGCACCAGAGTATAATTACATCTTTAAAAAGGCAGTGATATGGGTTTTTTTTTTTTACTCCTTTCATTTCTTGTTGGCACTTGTTGCTTCACCCTGAAACTTACAAACTTGTTGAGATCTTCCCAATTTGTTCTTAGTAAGAACGTCAATAATTATGGTATAAAACACCACAAATCATCACCAATTTTTGTAAAATGGTGAGCAATCCCGTTTCAAGTTGTTTATGATCAATAAAACAATGATTACAATTCACTGCCTGTCACATTGTTTTTTTTTTTGTGACCGATTTGTTAGGGGGGAAAAACTCAATTCGATCACAGAAAAAAAAACATTAAAATCAGTAATTCAAAAATATGTTGGACAGGACAACACCAAAAAACTCCAGATATTTCATTGAGGTAAATTTCAACAAGAATTTTAAATGTGGTAGTCTCATTATAATCACTATTATTACCGTAATTTCAATGGAAAGCATTTTTCTTTCCTGCAGAAAATGGATTTCCTTTCACTAATACATTCATCTCACCACGTGAATTGTTTTGGGTTTTCTTTAATATAATTTTTACTTATAATTAGTACGTATTCATATTGAACAACAAGAGTACATGTTCCACATGTTTTATAACTATGTCCACTGGAAAAGCTACTAAGGCAAATAAAGCCAAGGGAAGAGTTTGGAGTGATGTGAAAACATGTGAAAAAGTAAATGGTGTGGCAAGGAAGCGTTTTTTAAAGTGTACAAATACAAGGATTTGCAGTTAGTAATCCTGTATCCACGGTAACCAAACTATAATTTACAAAAGCAGTGATGCCCTCCGGAAATAGGAAGCTGTCATTTTTATTAAAAACAAAAAAAATGTTTAACATAAAAAAAAAAAAATATTCTTGCCATGTTTTTCTGGAAAGTATTTTTTACTATGGATGTCAGGGTTTATATTTCTGACAACAGACAAGCCAATACAGAATCAGTATTTGCACACTCTGAGCTTATCTAAAAGAGGACAGAATCGTCAATAAACAGAATGACAATATAGCTCTGTAAATAGAAAGCACTACTGAACTATAGTCTAAAAAGCGTGAAATTTCATATCTCGCTTGTTTTTGGGTTTTTTTTTACATCAAAATACACTAAAAAATTGATAACTTTTTCAAAAGGAAAAAAATCCTTGATGTTGTTACATATTATAAGCATATTAAAGAAAAAGCTATTACAATAATATTTTTACTGACACGTAAATAATTGTGGATCAAAGATAAAAATTGCTCAGCATGGTGTAGTGTGTTACTACAGATGTAGACATCCACCCACAAATTGGGTTGGAGGGGTCAGAGGTCACCACTGGGATGCATTTCACCACCTGGTCAGTTGATTTTTCAGACGACGTTTGTGTCAACTACAGTGGTACTTCTTCATAAGTAGTTTACTAAATTATGCTGAGCTATCCAACCAATCATGTCAGTGACGTCATGGTGTATGACGAGTTAATAAATTCCATTATACATGTACAAATCTGGAAAGAAGCATATTTTGACAGAAATTAATATAAATTTCAAATTTGTAAAATGCTGACACCTTTGTGAGATCACACATGGTATTAACACAACACAAATGCAGGTTTAAATATTTAGTTTATTAGAAGCAAAAATCCTTTTTTTGTACTGTAAATGTATTATTTTTTTCTATTGTAGGAGTTCTAAACACATCGGTAGTTTTTTGTATCATCTGATAAAAATATATTCTTTCGGAAGTTAATCCCCTGATGTTACTAGGTATCAGTAATGTAGCTTTTCGAGTTTATTAGTTACTAATACGTACCTCTGGTTTAGAAAAGACCGCAGTCCTTAAGATTGTTCTTGATGATGACATCAGTAACAGCATCAAATACAAACTGGATGTTGTTGGTGTCTGTTGCACACGTAAAGTGAGTGTAGATCTCTTTCTGGTCCTTCCTCTTATTCAAGTCCTCAAACCTCATCTGAATATAGGCAGCCGCTTCTTCATAAGTGTTGGATCCTGAGAAAAACAAATTTCATAATTTGAGTTAACATAACCTCATTTGAAATGAAGTAAAACGATTCAGAACAATAAATCGGTAATCAACAAGTAAGTGCATTACATAGTCCAGTATAAGCAATATATAAAGTTTAAACAGTCCGGGCATGGCAGAGATCAGAACAGTATTCATTAAAATAAAATGGCAAGCAGTTGGCCATTTTTATTCTGATCTGGAACAACCCAACCTGACGGTCGAAATAGCTTCGCTGTCCTACAAGAACATTGTGGTAGCCAAGTCGAGAACAAATTGTTTACAAAAATAATGTACACCTCAAATATTATAGTAGTGTTCAAGAAAAATTCTAAAATACACCCATACCAAGTATCAAAGCAATTGAACTGGTAGTTTTCAAAAAAAAGAGTCAAAAATAGCATTTTTTTTAACTAAAAATGACAAAAATATTCACCAAAAATAAAGAATTGAAAAAATCATCATGAAATAAACCAAGATACTGACATACCTAGTATCAAAGCAATTGAGCTAGTCGAAAATGTGATTGTTGATGGACAATGGACAATCAACTATATGAACAGCTAAAAAAATCCAGGTCCATAACATTCAATGTACCAGTATGTATCAAGTTAAAACAAAAATCTTCCACACACTACTATGATCTAGTTTTGAAATTACAGGTATACTTAATTTTGAAGCATTTCTCAAAACAAATGAATGTGCATACGTTTTTCAAGATGCATGATGTATGCAAAAAATTTGAATGTGATCAGTACAGGCGTGTCCATGTGATATAAATGGAGATGCATGGAAGCATCTACACACAAATGCACTGAGGTCAATCCATGAGTCCCCTTTAACAGGAAGTAAAATCTAGAACAGTTAAATTGTTGGTCTAGTATACAAATAAAATCAGAAAAATCTATGGTCCTTTTTCATTTGAATGACAGATTACCAGAACAGAAACTTCTATTTAATTTGGCTAATGGTAACTTTATAAACCAGACTGATACCAACATCCTAGCAGCCTAGTATACATAAGTAGTAGCAACTCACCTGTGTATTCAGGGAAGCAAATAGTCAATGGCGACTTAGTGATTTTCTCCTCAAACAAATCCTTCTTGTTCAAGAAAAGAATAATTGAAGTGTCTGTAAACCATTTATTGTTACATATGGAATCAAACAACTTCATGGACTCCTGCATACGATTCTGTATAAAGTTAGAAAAAAAAAACGAAATATAAAATATAAGCAATAGAAACTTTTCACAACCGCTTTAAATGAGAAACATTTAATATTTCTTGTTTCTTTTTAATTTAACCCATCACTGCGTGTTCAATTACGATGTTGTCTGTTTATTATTTAAAAGTAATTTTATGATAAATTATTCTACTTAAATAATGATATTAATAATAATAAATAATATTATGATAAATTATTTATCAAAGTAGCTAATTAACAAATTTACCATATATATACAGCATAATTTGTCACTTGTCATTTTAGTTACGCTTATTTCACGGATATTGCAATGCAAGGTTAACCACAGACTGTATGATTTCCTAGAAAAGAAGAGCCTCAACGACATTCGCAAAATTGTGTCTTTACGAATGATAAAAGAAATCATCACTAAATTCATGGCAACGAAAATTAAGTGGTTTCAACTTACCATCTCTTCATCTTCTGCCAATACTAAGTCATAAGCACTGAGCGCAACACAGAAAATAATAGCAGTGACCCCTTCAAAGCAATGTATCCATTTCTTTCGCTCTGAGCGCTGACCTCCAACATCAAATAATCTGAAGTGACAAATTAATATATTTTAGAGAATCAAAAGATGTAAAACTCTCAAACATACTCAGTGACGAAAGGGAATTTTGTTTTGACATGAAGCAACCGGGCATAAATTCCACATCAAGTCACAGTTGATTTAAGTTAAAATATTTTTGTTCATGTTATTGCATGATATTTTGACAGACAGTTTTCTGATTTCCAGACATCACATGGCCACTCTATATCATCATGTAAACAACACAAAACAACCCAGTCAATGACCCCTAGCTCACTTGAAATAATCAAGACACTGACCCCATAACTCAGTTGAAATGAACACAGAACATCCCACAATGAAAGGTATCCCTAACTCACTTGAAATGAAGATCTTTATATGTAAAGTGTGTTTCCACAATACCAGTGGTTTTCACTCGAGTTCTAAGTACGTCCTGCTGCGTTGGGATGTAGCCTGGTGCAGCCAATCGGTCAAGCGCATTCAAGTAATATGATGCAGAGTCATTGAGTTGATATTCTCTTGATCTGTTGAAACACGCTTGTACGCCAGAGTCCTTCCATAGTCTTTTCATGCATGCTGCGAGCTCCGGACTCAGCTCACCTTCTTCAGCCTGACCTGCTAGGGCAAACAGTTGCCTCGCGTCTTCCTGAAAATATGATTAGAAAGACAATTTCAAGAATATATCCAAGATTGAAAAATTGCTGATATGAATTATCTGAGTTATTGCTACCACAAGAACAACACTTTGATCATGCAAAAAGGTTAAAGGTCAAAAACTGGTGACTCACCGCTCTGTCAGGATGTCCGAAGTCAATTTTTAGTGATCCCATAGCCCTAATAATGGCTATCATAGATTGTATGGTGTTACTGTAGACGACAGGTTTGTATTGTAAACAGTCCTCTTCTGTGTAACCTTCCTCATGGATGATCCTGATCAGTAGGAAAAAATGAATTGATTAAATCCTTATCAGATCCTCTTTCAATAGAGGTGCATGTGACTAACAATTTGGTTGCAGGTAGGATTTTATAGTGCCACAGTTACTGTTCTGCATTATGTTCAACGCGAGTCTCACCCCATGTTAAATACGTTGCATTTCAACATGAAGTTCAAAACTTATTTGAAGTTTATTGCCTGCCTGTTGTCTTTTAGTTGGATTTCTACTGGAGTTCAGCTATTCTACAGCAGACTTTCAATTACCATTTCACCACCAGTTCCCTCTTTTCATCACAAAATCACCACCAGTTCCCCCTTTTCATCACAAAATAGTCCTGTTTATAATTTGCACTTTCCATCAGAAGATCGGGACAAAAAATAGCCAAATTAATTTTGTCTGTTGGCTTCAAAATTAGGGGTCATTTCCAGAAATATTGAGGAATATAAGAAAAAAATGCAGAAAAATTTGGGTGAGAGAGTCTGGTGGTGAAGAGGTTAACTATTAATTGGCTAGCCTTCACATTGCTTTTAATTGGTCCTGCAGCTAGCCTTTAGTTGGCTTTCAGCAAACCTCCAGTTGCCTTTAATGTAGCATTCAGCATTTCGTTCAGTTGACATTCAACTAGCCTTCAGTTCAGTTTTAGTTATTTTTCTGCTAGCTTCCAGCGAGTGTTAATTTGGCTTTCAACAAGCCTTCAGCAAATTTTATTTGGCATTCTGCTAGCTATTTACTAGCCTTCAGCTAACTTTAATTTGGCTTTCAACAAGCCTTCAGCGAGTTTTATTTGGCATTCTGCTAGCTATTTACTAGCCTTCAGCTAACTTTAATTTGGCTTACAACAAGCCTTCAGCGAGTTTTATTTGGCATTCTGCTAGCTAAATACTAGCCTTCAGCTAACTTTAATTTGGCTTTCAACAAGCCTTCAGCGAGTTTTATTTGGCATTCTGCTAGCTATTTACTAGCCTTCAGCTAGCTTTAATTTGGCTTTCAACAAGCCTTCAGCAAGTTCTATTTGGCATTCTGCTAGCTAATTACTAACCTTGAGCTAGCTTTAATTTGGCTTTCAACAAGCCTTCAGCGAGTTTTATTTGGCATTCTGCTAGCCATTTACTAGCCTTCAGCTAGATTTAATTTGGCTTTCAACAAGCCTTCAGCAAGTTTTATTTGACACTGCTAGCCATTTACTAGCCTTCAGCTAGCTTTAATTTGGCTTTTAACAAGCCTTCAGCAAGTTCTATTTGGCATTCTGCTAGCTAATTACTAGCCTTTAGCTAGCTTTAATTTGGCTTTCAACAAACATTCAGCAAGTTTTATTTTTCATTCTGCTAGCTATTTACTAGCCTTCAGCTAGATTTAATTTGGCTTTCAACAAGCCTTCAAGCAAAATTTATATGGTGTTCTGCTACCTATCAACTAGCTTTCTTTTTATTTCTATTAGTATTCAGGAGGAGGCTTTTATTAGGCTTCATTCAAAAAGCAATTAAAAAGGTAGCAATTAACATCCAGTAAATTGAAAACAAAATCCACATTTTCATTAAAAAATCTTGCAAGGTTTCGCAATTTAAATAACATAAAAGCACTATCATGTTTCATCAATAGATAAAAATAACTTACTTCATTTGTTTCACAATTGTACTCTTTCCAGACTCTCCAGCACCTAGAAGAAAAGAATTAAAATTTAATGATAAAGTGATGGAGTATACACAATAATCAAAGGCTTCTGATATATGTAGTGGGCCCTCTATAGTTAATCTAGAGAACCATTCACCCACCTTAGCCTCAGACTTGGTGGGTATGAAACAAGTACAAAAGAGCAGTAATTTGAAGAGTTTGTTCTGTTAAATACAATAAACCAATTAAAATGGTCTCAGCCAGAAATATTTTCACTAAAATATGGTAAAAATTGCAATTTATTATAACATACTGTGTATTTTTAGTAATTTTCTATAATTTCTTGTTAAATTTGGGACAAACGGACATAATTTTCTATTTCCTACTGGTTCACAATCACAATTATTGAAAAGATAAAAAATTATGCAAGTTTTTTTTGTTGAAAATGACAAAAGTTGCTGAACGGGGTAAAATAAATGTAATGTGTGTACATGGTAAATAAACCACACCAGCAACAGTAACAGCGTGTGCACAATTATGTATTTACATAACTATTGCTAATCGTACATTCAACTGGGGTCCGACTGTCAGGCGGCAACATGAAACAATCTTATTACATATATAGTAACACAATAAAACAGATGTTCTCACCATTGACGAATAAAAGCGATTTATAGTATTTATATAGTGACTGATACTCGAGTAATGATGAGAATTCTAGTCTGCAACATACATTTATAAATATTTGGAAACAATTACGCTGAAACACACATCCCCATAATCAAGATCTACGCAATCGCAATTTGATAAGACATTTGTGTCATCATAATAATGATCTAACTATTGGGATCGGTTTTCAATTTCACAGGAAATTCTGTTTTTAAAAGCAAAACGAACACAATTATAGCCTGCAGAGCAGCAATGGTATTAAACGGAATCAGGTGTCTCGGTGACGTCAATAAAAGGCTGGAATAAAAGTATCTCTATCACAGAGGAAATTGATGTGACTCTATTAAATTTCCCAGCAATGGTTTTCACGGCAACAGAAATATGCTGTACGCGTGCACAGATTTATAGTGTTTCTTTTGATAAATATAAAATTGTAAATGTCCCAGCTCGTGTAAATTTTTGCAAAATTGTTCCATTTTTACATAATAATCACAAAATATTTGAATTGAGATGTGTACACCTTATTTGGAAATATAACTTCCATATAAAGTAAATAAGGTGGGCAGAAAAAATACCAATATCATTCAATGTTTTAGCACAAATCTGCTATTATTAAAGCATTACATGTGAAAATCATGTGATCAACAAAGTACCCGCACAAATTTTACCCCACATATACTGCAATATTTTAATGTCTCGCGCGACAAATTTCCTACCAAAATGTAAATTTGCACAGTGAAAAGGGTCCCATTTCAGAATAAAACATCTCAGAATAAAACATCTCAGAATAAGACATACGACACTGTTTAAAGAATATAAATAAATGAGTCTGGCTTAATCACAAAGTCATTGTTTCCATGGAAACAAGTTTCCTCCCTTTCATTTGCTCTTTCAGTCAAAAATTCATAGTGATTTTTCTGCTTTTTACTAGTCCATTGTATTTGAAATGACTGTGGTACAAATTCACTTAATATGTCTACCAAATAATACTATATATAATAGATATTTATCTATAGCATAATATAGTCTGTAATCCAGCGTTAAAGAATAAATAGACAGACAGACAGAGCTAGCACGAAAGCAATCAGTTTTTTGTAGTTCTAACGTCCCGTCCACCAGTAACTGGCCAGTCAATTAGAATTTTTATTTAAAACAAACAAACAAATAAGGTGGGCAGAAAAAATACCAATATCATTCAATGTTTTAGCACAAATCTGCTATTATTAAAGCATTACATGTGAAAATCATGTGATCAACAAAGTACCCGCACAAATTTTACCCCACATATACTGCAATATTTTAATGTCTCGCGCGACAAATTTCCTACCAAAATGTAAATTTGCACAGTGAAAAGGGTCCCATTTCAGAATAAAACATCTCAGAATAAAACATCTCAGAATAAGACATACGACACTGTTTAAAGAATATAAATAAATGAGTCTGGCTTAATCACAAAGTCATTGTTTCCATGGAAACAAGTTTCCTCCCTTTCATTTGCTCTTTCAGTCAAAAATTCATAGTGATTTTTCTGCTTTTTACTAGTCCATTGTATTTGAAATGACTGTGGTACAAATTCACTTAATATGTCTACCAAATAATACTATATATAATAGATATTTATCTATAGCATAATATAGTCTGTAATCCAGCGTTAAAGAATAAATAGACAGACAGACAGACAGAGCTAGCACGAAAGCAATCAGTTTTTTGTAGTTCTAACGTCCCGTCCACCAGTAACTGGCCAGTCAATTAGAATTTTTATTTAAAACAAACTGAAAACTTATCAAGCCTGACCAAATAGAGCACTACACATGTACAAATACAGATGTCTCATAATAGCTTCAATCGATGAAATAAAGGGGGCGTTTACTCCGGACAGTTTAATCCTAAACAAGCAGTCTCTCGGCTGAGATAGCTCCGCTGTTAGCAATGCACATTTCAATTAAAGAACAGAAGATATCATTAGAAAATGAACAATATGTATAGTATCAAAGCAATTGGACTTGCAATTTTCAACAAGAAGTTGAAAATATCACTTTTTACCAAAAATGACAAAAATATTCACCAAAATTAGAGAATTGAAGATATCATCATGAAATGAACAAATCATATACACCAAGTATCAAAGCATTCAGGCTTGTAGTTTTCAAGAAGAAGTCGAAAAAGTAAAACATTGACATGGACAACGACGAACGACGGTCAATCACTCATATGATAAGCTCCGCTCGACAAAGTCGACAGCGGAGCTAAAACAGGAATTAGGCTAAACTAAACAAGCACTAAAAACACATCTTCCAAACAATGTCATTGCACTAAATTTGTTACCACCATTTTTATTTCAAAATTCACTTATTCTTAACTGATGGTTGATAATCCGCCCGCTCTATCAAAAAACCAAGGTGAATAACCTACTCTATATGGGCAAGTTGAACTTCCAAATGTCAAGTTGATAGAGCGCCCTCATGAACCAGCAACTATCTCCTTTCTTTTTGAATTTACATACAAATGCAACTGTTTCACGAAAAAATCTGCCATTCGGGGTTAATATGCATAAAAATTATATAAAAATAATATTCTTCTCCAAACATAAATTAAATATTTGCAGTGAGTAAAATTGACCTGAACAATTTGACAATGCCAGCAGAAAGGTTGTTTGAGCTAGGTCTTCAAAAACATGTACAAAATTTGATGAATAACATTCCATTAAACATGCCCGGGAAAGCCAACTTGATTATGCTTCTTGTCAAAACACAATATATCAAATACTAAATGTTTACAATATAGGCTTGAGTTCAGGCCATTGAAAAGATGGAGATGATATTTCTGACCTTAAAGAAGTCTTGTATATTTTTAAATCAGCGTCTGTAGAAGCATGAATTTGCAGTATAAATTATAATTGGGAGGAGGTGTTAACTTAAAGAGCTGAATGGAAGATGTCAGAACACATTGATTTGAGTAACAATTTATTAATATTAATTAACAATTAAATTAAGCATGTAGCAATTTATGTGGAACTGGAAAAATTAGTGTCGACCTAGGAACATAGCGTGGAAGTGGAAAAATTATTTCAGAATTGGTAAATTTAGAGAAAAACAGAAAATGGTATGGAAAATTTATGACAACCAATCAGTCTAAGACTATTAAAACGATCCATCAGATAAATCATCAAATCAATGAAAAAAAAACAAGATTGCTGACAATCTTCAATACTGTAATCTCCACAATCTATGATTTTTTTAATCTCTGCCTCACCAACAGCAATGCCAAAACAGGTGTGTTGTTTTGATGATGCAACCCATACTAAATTTACATAATAATTAACATTGTAATAATCACATTATATTTTAAATCCGATTTCAAAATATGACGACCATGAAGATTACAATCCAGATGTATTGCCATGGTTATTGTTCATTCATGGAAACAAGGTCATGTTGTACATAATGTAAACAATTTGAAGCAAAATACACGCTGGCTATATATTTTCATGGAACAATCCATGCATACTCAAATTTAAAATGAGCCAGCACGTCAGCATACCCCAACCATTAACATCAATCCCCTTATTGTAAAGCCTGCATAAATACCCCTAGTTCCCTAAAATTATCTACAGTACCATTATTTAAAAAAAAAACTTCTATTTTAAACTATATATTACATTAATTACATTATTAGAAATGAGTTGAAGTATGACTTGTTAAAATGAGACACTGATGAATTACATCCGACCGTCTATACTGATGAATTACATGCTTCTTTTAATGGAAGTAGAATTATTAATTTAATATCATATTGTTTCAGTGGATCAGAGTAATCAGAGAAAGGTAGATGAAAAGATAGAGCTGTTTGTAAGACATGCCGATGACAATACTGATCATGGGATAGAAATTTCTAGAAATACAAACCTGAGTGGTTAGTGTTTGCTACCTCACATTGTTTTTTACTTTATGTGTCAAACCATACTTTCAGAATGTGTACCACATGTTTTTGCCTTCTTCAGTAGAAACCTATATTTGATAACATTTTGTTTTCACAACCGAACCACTACCTGGTTACCGAAAAAGCATTCAGTGTTGTCAATGGTCTCTGAATTGTAAACCATGTCAAGTACAAGACGATAACATAACGTCATGTGATTTCAATTTGATCTTAATCACTACTGTAAAATCTGTATTAGAAACCCCAGCTTCTATTAAAATGGTACAATGCAACAGAGGGGATGCAGCGTTTATTGGAGCATCTACACTTATGAGAAATGATGAATTTTTGGTTCTCAATTATTTAAAAAGAATGGGTGCGACTTCTATTAGGGATGCGGCTTCTAATACAGATTTTACGGTAGTATCTCCCTGTCCTTATCTTTAATATATTAAATTG